ATTAAAAGTGAAAAATGACTGGTCGTGGTAAAGGTGGCAAAGGTTTGGGTAAAGGCGGCGCTAAACGTCATCGCAAAGTGTTGCGTGATAACATCCAGGGCATCACGAAGCCAGCTATTCGTCGTTTAGCTCGTCGTGGTGGTGTGAAACGTATCTCAGGACTCATTTATGAAGAAACTCGTGGTGTTCTAAAGGTATTCTTGGAAAACGTTATCCGCGATGCGGTCACATACACCGAGCATGCCAAGAGGAAGACGGTCACTGCCATGGATGTTGTCTATGCGCTGAAGAGACAAGGCCGTACCCTATACGGTTTTGGCGGCTAAAAACTAAATCCCAAATACAAATATGTACAAGTACAGTCATACCAATCGGTCCTTTTCAGGACCACCAAATCTTTACTCAAAAGAGATGAAAAATATTCAATATCTAGCCAAGTAATATGCACCTGAAATATACTTTTATTTAGCATTTGCTTTATAAAATACAAATAATTTAACAAAAAAAAGTGTTGAAACACCAAATGGATGCCAACAACACGCGGTGTTCCCAAGCGGTCCCCCATCTAAGTACTAACCGCGCCCGACGCTGCTTAATTTCGGTGATCGGACGAGAACCGATGTATTCAGCGTAGTATGGTCGTTGGCAAATGTCATGCGCTTAACATTTGCTTTTATGGCATCACACACATCACATCCACTTAAAAAGCAAGTGAAGCGTCAGCCAAGAATACGCTACTGTGTATTTAGTTAATTTCAGCAGAAAGTTACTAAATGTAGCAAATTAATTAAATAAAATTTCATTTTTAAATTTACATTAAAAATTAAAAGAAATGTTATATTAAGGAGTCTATCGGTGAATGTAAGTAAAAAAAAAAACACAATTCACTGCGAAGAGCAAAAAGTAGGAAATACCCTTACTCCTCAGGTAGATGATACTGTTTTGACACCAACTGTACTTTTCTTACATTTCTCTTTTCGTTTTTCGACCGTGGGAATTCAAATATAGTCAATGAAAAATTAAATCTCTTTTACATATTTTGGTCGTCCTGAAAAGGACGTTTGATTGAGTTTTTTTTTTTACATATGTACATGCTATTTGAGAGTAGTCTGGTAGTTTATGCCTTCTTTTCCGTCTTCTTGGGGAGTAGAACTGCCTGGATGTTGGGTAAAACACCACCCTGCGCAATGGTAACGCCCGAAAGCAGTTTATTTAACTCTTCATCGTTGCGGATGGCCAATTGCAGATGGCGAGGGATAATCCTAGTTTTCTTATTATCACGAGCAGCATTGCCAGCCAACTCCAAGACTTCAGCGGCCAAGTATTCCATAACGGCAGCTAAGTACACAGGAGCACCGGCACCAACACGCTCGGCGTAGTTGCCCTTGCGAAGAAGACGGTGAATACGACCCACGGGAAACTGGAGTCCAGCGCGGTTGGAACGCGACTTTGCCTTTCCCTTTACTTTTCCACCTTTACCACGACCAGACATTGTTATTTAGTTCACAAATTAGTCACTCTCAACACACAAATATCAAATACCGAATGATTCCGACAAACAAGCCGTCATTGTATTTATAGTTTTTCAGCTACCTACTTTGTCAGGTTAGGAATGAACAGCTGCGCAGTAATTCGAGCGCAGTGGTGGATTTTAACATGAAAGCGTCGTTCAAACGAGAGTATATATTAGAAGCATTTTCGATGTGCTGAACACACATTGTGAAGTTAATCAAAGTGAAGTGAATAAGTATTAAGAATGCCGCCGAAAACTAGTGGAAAGGCAGCCAAAAAGGCTGGCAAGGCTCAAAAGAACATCACCAAGAATGACAAGAAGAAGAAGCGCAAGAGGAAGGAAAGCTATGCCATCTACATTTACAAAGTGTTGAAGCAGGTCCATCCTGACACTGGCATTTCGTCAAAGGCAATGAGCATCATGAACAGCTTCGTGAATGATATTTTTGAGCGTATTGCTGCCGAGGCATCTCGTTTGGCCCACTACAACAAACGTTCAACCATCACAAGTCGGGAAATCCAAACCGCTGTCCGTCTTTTACTGCCCGGAGAGTTGGCTAAGCACGCCGTCAGTGAGGGAACCAAAGCAGTCACCAAGTACACTAGCTCCAAGTAAATTGCAGGCAGAAATACCAGCGAGCAGCTAGCAGCAAAAGGCCCTTTTCAGGGCCACAAATCATTCCTTTCAAAGAATTCAAAATATTTTTCCATTACTGGTGAAGCAACTTAATAAACTAATTTTCATATTCTATTCTATTGATGCCGCAAATTACTCACAATCAGAGTATATTTTAGCTGGACTTTTAATGAAATAAAAATTAACAGCAAAATTACCTTTTTATAGTTCCCACAACGAATAAAGTACGTGCAGAAAGGAAATTAATCTTATTAACACACAAAATAGATTGTTTGGCTTATAAATATACCTCAGAAGTATATGCAATAAATATATGGAAATACAGCCCTCAAAGGAAAAACATATTTCGTAAGTATAGCTGAATAGCTGAGTTATTCATTAAAATATTATTTATGAAAACTCAAATCTCTTTGTTGAAAGTATTTTGTGGTCCTGAAAAGGACCGATTTGGTTACAATTGATGCTTTACAATTTACAATTTAAGCACGTTCGCCACGAATGCGTCTGGCCAGTTGGATATCTTTGGGCATGATGGTGACACGCTTAGCATGGATAGCACACAAGTTCGTGTCTTCAAATAGGCCAACCAGGTAGGCTTCGCTAGCTTCTTGCAGAGCCATCACAGCCGAACTCTGGAAACGTAAATCGGTCTTGAAGTCCTGAGCAATTTCGCGTACTAAACGCTGGAACGGCAGCTTGCGGATAAGCAACTCTGTGCTCTTCTGGTAGCGACGAATTTCACGCAGTGCAACTGTACCGGGACGATAGCGATGAGGTTTCTTCACACCACCGGTTGCTGGAGCACTTTTACGTGCTGCCTTAGTTGCCAACTGTTTGCGAGGAGCCTTGCCTCCCGTCGATTTACGAGCAGTCTGCTTAGTACGCGCCATTTTTCTCTTTCTATAACACTGTTTACACTCTCACTGTTGAAAACACAATAATCGTCCGCTGGTTTGCTGCTCGTTTATATAGAAAACTGCTCGTTAAGCGAGGGTAGTGTGCGAGCGGGATAGAAATATCTGTGCACTCGCTCAAGAGTTTGCTCTTTTTGGTATAAATAGAAGCGCTTGCGACGAAGCAGCATTACTTTGTTTCTGGCATTCGTGGTGTAAAGTGTGAATTAAAAGTGAAAAATGACTGGTCGTGGTAAAGGTGGCAAAGGTTTGGGTAAAGGCGGCGCTAAACGTCATCGCAAAGTGTTGCGTGATAACATCCAGGGCATCACGAAGCCAGCTATTCGTCGTTTAGCTCGTCGTGGTGGTGTGAAACGTATCTCAGGACTCATTTATGAAGAAACTCGTGGTGTTCTAAAGGTATTCTTGGAAAACGTTATCCGCGATGCGGTCACATACACCGAGCATGCCAAGAGGAAGACGGTCACTGCCATGGATGTTGTCTATGCGCTGAAGAGACAAGGCCGTACCCTATACGGTTTTGGCGGCTAAAAACTAAATCCCAAATACAAATATGTACAAGTACAGTCATACCAATCGGTCCTTTTCAGGACCACCAAATCTTTACTCAAAAGAGATGAAAAATATTCAATATCTAGCCAAGTAATATGCACCTGAAATATACTTTTATTTAGCATTTGCTTTATAAAATACAAATAATTTAACAAAAAAAGTGTTGAAGCACCAAATGGATGCCAACAACACGCGGTGTTCCCAAGCGGTCCCCCATCTAAGTACTAACCGCGCCCGACGCTGCTTAATTTCGGTGATCGGACGAGAACCGATGTATTCAGCGTAGTATGGTCGTTGGCAAATGTCATGCGCTTAACATTTGCTTTTATGGCATCACACACATCACATCCACTTAAAAAGCAAGTGAAGCGTCAGCCAAGAATACGCTACTGTGTATTTAGTTAATTTCAGCAGAAAGTTACTAAATGTAGCAAATTAATTAAATAAAATTTCATTTTTAAATTTACATTAAAAATTAAAAGAAATGTTATATTAAGGAGTCTATCGGTGAATGTAAGTAAAAAAAACACAATTCACAGCGAAGAGCAAAAAGTAGGAAATACCCTTACTCCTCAGGTAGATGATACTGTTTTGACACCAACTGTACTTTTCTTACATTTCTCTTTTCGTTTTTCGACCGTGGGAATTCAAATATAGTCAATGAAAAATTAAATCTCTTTTACATATTTTGGTCGTCCTGAAAAGGACGTTTGATAGAGTTTTTTTTTTTACATATGTACATGCTATTTGAGAGTAGTCTGGTAGTTTATGCCTTCTTTTCCGTCTTCTTGGGGAGTAGAACTGCCTGGATGTTGGGTAAAACACCACCCTGCGCAATGGTAACGCCCGAAAGCAGTTTATTTAACTCTTCATCGTTGCGGATGGCCAATTGCAGATGGCGAGGGATAATCCTAGTTTTCTTATTATCACGAGCAGCATTGCCAGCCAACTCCAAGACTTCAGCGGCCAAGTATTCCATAACGGCAGCTAAGTACACAGGAGCACCGGCACCAACACGCTCGGCGTAGTTGCCCTTGCGAAGAAGACGGTGAATACGACCCACGGGAAACTGGAGTCCAGCGCGGTTGGAACGCGACTTTGCCTTTCCCTTTACTTTTCCACCTTTACCACGACCAGACATTGTTATTTAGTTCACAAATTAGTCACTCTCAACACACAAATATCAAATACCGAATGATTCCGACAAACAAGCCGTCATTGTATTTATAGTTTTTCAGCTACCTACTTCTTCAGGTTAGGAATGAACAGCTGCGCAGTATTTTCGAGCGCAGTGGTGGATTTTAACATGAAAGCGTCGTTCAAACGAAAGTATATATGATAAGCATTTTCGGTGTGCTGAACACACATTTGTGAAGTTAATCAAAGTGAAGTGAATAAGTATTAAGTATGCCGCCGAAAACTAGTGGAAAGGCAGCCAAAAAGGCTGGCAAGGCTCAAAAGAACATTACCAAGAATGACAAGAAGAAGAAGCGCAAGAGGAAGGAAAGCTATGCCATCTACATTTACAAAGTGTTGAAGCAGGTCCATCCTGACACTGGCATTTCGTCAAAGGCAATGAGCATCATGAACAGCTTCGTGAATGATATTTTTGAGCGTATTGCTGCCGAGGCATCTCGTTTGGCCCACTACAACAAACGTTCAACCATCACAAGTCGGGAAATCCAAACCGCTGTCCGTCTTTTACTGCCCGGAGAGTTGGCTAAGCACGCCGTCAGTGAGGGAACCAAAGCAGTCACCAAGTACACTAGCTCCAAGTAAATTGCAGGCAGAAATACAAGCGAGCAGCTAGCAGCAAAAGGCCCTTTTCAGGGCCACAAATCATTCCTTTCAAAGAATTCAAAATATTTTTCCATTACTGGTGAAGCAACTTAATAAACTAATTTTCATATTCTATTCTATTGATGCCGCAAATTACTCACAATCAGAGTATATTTTAGCTGGACTTTTAATGAAATAAAAATCAACAGCAAAATTACCTTTTTTTAGTTCCCACAACGAATAAAGTACGCGGAGAAAGTAAATTAGTCTTATTAACACACAAAATAAATATTCTTACGAAGTGTGCAACAAATATATGGAAATAGTCTTTAAAGCAAAAACAGATACTGAATAAGTCTGGAAATATTTTTCTCTCTTTAAAAATACATAAATTGTAGCCCTGAAAAGGGCTTTGTTAAAATGCGAAGGCGAATTTCACAATTAAGAAATTCCGAATTTCACTTCTACTCTGATTAGGAGTGTTTTTTTACTTCTTGGCGGCCTTCGGCTTCTTGGCAGAAGCTTTTTTCGGTGTCGCTGGCTTTGCTACTGCCTTTGCCTGCTTTGGCTTAGCACTTGTGGCTTGTGTCTTGGGCTTTGGCGTCTTTGCCTTTGCTGCGCTTTGTTTGGCCTTTGCCTTTGCTTTTGCATCTGCTGTGGTGGGTTTAGCCTTTACTGTACCCGTTTTCTTAGCATCCTTTGCTACTGCCTTTGCCTTTGCTTTTGCTTTTGCCTTATCTGCCTTCGATTTCTCAGCGCTCTTTTTGCTGGCGGTGGCTACCTTTGATGGCTTCTTCTTGTCAACTGTAGCTGATTTCTTCTTTTTAGCTGCTGCTGCTGCTGATGCTGCTGTGGTTTTCTTCTCCAGAGGAGAAGCCTTTGGTTTCGGCTCTTTTTTGGCTGATGCAGACAGTTTAAACGAACCAGATGCACCCTTGCCCTTTGTTTGGACCAGCTTTCCACTTGCAACTGCAGTCCTCAAGTACTTCTTAATGAACGGTGCTAGTTTCTGGGCATCGCACTTGTAGGTGGCACTAATGTATTTCTTAATTGCCAGAAGCGATGAGCCACCACGCTCCTTCAAGTTTTTTATCGAAGCATCTACCATTTGCTGAGTTGGCGGGTGTGATGCTCCAGCTGTTGTCCTCTTTGCCTTCAATCCTGATGCTGCCTTCTTGGTGGCCACCTTCTTCTCGGCTGCAGCTGGTGTGGCAGTCACGGGAGAGGCGATTGTGGCAACTGCTGAATCAGACATATTTCACTTTAGTTCACTTTCACAACGATTTACACTTTAATGGTACAAATTTGCTGAAACTCACCATGCTATTTGGTCACTCGATTGAGTGAGAATCGAGGAGGAGAGCCGAACGAGAATGTTTACGGCATTGAACGTTTGTCATGTGAAAGATTGCCAACGTCTTATTGTTAATTTGCCATTTACAATCGATTTATTTGCAAATAGAAAAGAATGTAAATGTGGATAATGTTTAAAATATTTGAGCAACTAAATATAATAGATTTGAATTTATTATCTTAAATCACCGAGTCGTGGAAGTCGTGCAAAGTCTCGATTTGTTCCATCACGCAACATTTGTTAGTGAAAAACAACTCTTTTTAATATAATTACAACAAAATTTAGAAAATTATAATATTAATTGTATTATTTAAACTTTTCTTTACTGAAACACAATAGTTAAAAAGAATAGAAGTGATTAAATCATTTTTTAAACATGCTTTTAACTTGGCCATTAGCTGTAAAAAATTGACTAGCTTGGAGTGCAAGCAACAAGAGAAAAATGTATCGAAAACATATAAATTCTTCTTGAATAATTAATACCTACTTATTTTATATATTACATGTATATTAACTTCAGTTACATCTGTTTGATAATTATTGTAATACCAGAATCAAACGATTACAGATGAATTGTACATGCAACATCCAGATGACCACAATACGCGTATCAAGCGAGCAACTTATTAAAAGTCACATTATTCTTTATTTATATCATTGTTGTCTATCAGATTACGACATGTCTCTCTAAAGAAACATATATATCGGATCGAATGAGAAAATATTATATGAACTGCATGTTCACATCAAAATTGAAAGTAATATAATCACGAGCAACACATTAGATGTGCAACTTGAATCTTTATTTATATACATTTCTTCAAAAGGGAATCCATTATTGTAATTGCAATTCGAAAAACATTTACTGCTTTTCTTGCTTTGCTATTTACATACTGATTGTAATACAGTAAATAATATATTTATGTATATTGAGTAAAACATTTCCTAATTATATTTAAACGTTTTTTAAAGCTGAATAGCTGAGTTATTCATTAAAATATTATTTATGAAAACTCAAATCTCTTTGTTGAAAGTATTTTGTGGTCTGAAAAGGACCGATTTGGTTACAATTGATGCTTTACAATTTACAATTTAAGCACGTTCGCCACGAATGCGTCTGGCCAGTTGGATATCTTTGGGCATGATGGTGACACGCTTAGCATGGATAGCACACAAGTTCGTGTCTTCAAATAGGCCAACCAGGTAGGCTTCGCTAGCTTCTTGCAGAGCCATCACAGCCGAACTCTGGAAACGTAAATCGGTCTTGAAGTCCTGAGCAATTTCGCGTACTAAACGCTGGAACGGCAGCTTGCGGATAAGCAACTCTGTGCTCTTCTGGTAGCGACGAATTTCACGCAGTGCAACTGTACCGGGACGATAGCGATGAGGTTTCTTCACACCACCGGTTGCTGGAGCACTTTTACGTGCTGCCTTAGTTGCCAACTGTTTGCGAGGAGCCTTGCCTCCCGTCGATTTACGAGCAGTCTGCTTAGTACGCGCCATTTTTCTCTTTCTATAACACTGTTTACACTCTCACTGTTGAAAACACAATAATCGTCCGCTGGTTTGCTGCTCGTTTATATAGAAAACTGCTCGTTAAGCGAGGGTAGTGTGCGAGCGGGATAGAAATATCTGTGCACTCGCTCAAGAGTTTGCTCTTTTTGGTATAAATAGAAGCGCTTGCGACGAAGCAGCATTACTTTGTTTCTGGCATTCGTGGTGTAAAGTGTGAATTAAAAGTGAAAAATGACTGGTCGTGGTAAAGGTGGCAAAGGTTTGGGTAAAGGCGGCGCTAAACGTCATCGCAAAGTGTTGCGTGATAACATCCAGGGCATCACGAAGCCAGCTATTCGTCGTTTAGCTCGTCGTGGTGGTGTGAAACGTATCTCTGGACTCATTTATGAAGAAACTCGTGGTGTTCTAAAGGTATTCTTGGAAAACGTTATCCGCGATGCGGTCACATACACCGAGCATGCCAAGAGGAAGACGGTCACTGCCATGGATGTTGTCTATGCGCTGAAGAGACAAGGCCGTACCCTATACGGTTTTGGCGGCTAAAAACTAAATCCCAAATACAAATATGTACAAGTACAGTCATACCAATCGGTCCTTTTCAGGACCACCAAATCTTTACTCAAAAGAGATGAAAAATATTCAATATCTAGCCAAGTAATATGCACCTGAAATATACTTTTATTTAGCATTTGCTTTATAAAATACAAATAATTTAACAAAAAAAGTGTTGAAACACCAAATGGATGCCAACAACACGCGGTGTTCCCAAGCGGTCCCCCATCTAAGTACTAACCGCGCCCGACGCTGCTTAATTTCGGTGATCGGACGAGAACCGATATATTCAGCGTAGTATGGTCGTTGGCAAATGTCATGCGCTTAATATTTGCTTTTATGGCATCACACACATCACATCCACTTAAAAAGCAAGTGAAGCGTCAGCCAAGAATACGCTACTGTGTATTTAGTTAATTTCAGCAGAAAGTTACTAAATGTAGCAAATTAATTAAATAAAATTTCATTTTTAAATTTACATTAAAAATTAAAAGAAATGTTATATTAAGGAGGAGTCTATCGGTGAATGTAAGTAAAAAAAAAACACAATTCACAGCGAAGAGCAAAAAGTAGGAAATACCCTTACTCCTCAGGTAGATGATACTGTTTTGACACCAACTGTACTTTTCTTACATTTCTCTTTTCGTTTTTCGACCGTGGGAATTCAAATATAGTCAATGAAAAATTAAATCTCTTTTACATATTTTGGTCGTCCTGAAAAGGACGTTTGATTGAGTTTTTTTTTTTTACATATGTACATGCTATTTGAGAGTAGTCTGGTAGTTTATGCCTTCTTTTCCGTCTTCTTGGGGAGTAGAACTGCCTGGATGTTGGGTAAAACACCACCCTGGGCAATGGTAACGCCCGAAAGCAGTTTATTTAACTCTTCATCGTTGCGGATGGCCAATTGCAGATGGCGAGGGATAATCCTAGTTTTCTTATTATCACGAGCAGCATTGCCAGCCAACTCCAAGACTTCAGCGGCCAAGTATTCCATAACGGCAGCTAAGTACACAGGAGCACCGGCACCAACACGCTCGGCGTAGTTGCCCTTGCGAAGAAGACGGTGAATACGACCCACGGGAAACTGGAGTCCAGCGCGGTTGGAACGCGACTTTGCCTTTCCCTTTACTTTTCCACCTTTACCACGACCAGACATTGTTATTTAGTTCACAAATTAGTCACTCTCAACACACAAATATCAAATACCGAATGATTCCGACAAACAAGCCGTCATTGTATTTATAGTTTTTCAGCTACCTACTTCTTCAGGTTAGGAATGAACAGCTGCGCAGTATTTTCGAGCGCAGTGGTGGATTTTAACATGAAAGCGTCGTTCAAACGAAAGTATATATGATAAGCATTTTCGGTGTGCTGAACAGACATTTGTGAAGTTAATCAAAGTGAAGTGAATAAGTATTAAGTATGCCGCCGAAAACTAGTGGAAAGGCAGCCAAAAAGGCTGGCAAGGCTCAAAAGAACATTACCAAGAATGACAAGAAGAAGAAGCGCAAGAGGAAGGAAAGCTATGCCATCTACATTTACAAAGTGTTGAAGCAGGTCCATCCTGACACTGGCATTTCGTCAAAGGCAATGAGCATCATGAACAGCTTCGTGAATGATATTTTTGAGCGTATTGCTGCCGAGGCATCTCGTTTGGCCCACTACAACAAACGTTCAACCATCACAAGTCGGGAAATCCAAACCGCTGTCCGTCTTTTACTGCCCGGAGAGTTGGCTAAGCACGCCGTCAGTGAGGGAACCAAAGCAGTCACCAAGTACACTAGCTCCAAGTAAATTGCAGGCAGAAATACCAGCGAGCAGCTAGCAGCAAAAGGCCCTTTTCAGGGCCACAAATCATTCCTTTCAAAGAATTCAAAATATTTTTCCATTACTGGTGAAGCAACTTAATAAACTAATTTTCATATTCTATTCTATTGATGCCGCAAATTACTCACAGAGTATATTTTAGCTGGACTTTTAATGAAATAAAAATTAACAGCAAAATTAACTTTTTATAGTTCCCACAACGAATAAAGTACGTGCAGAAAGGAAATTAATCTTATTAACACACAAAATAGATTGTTTGGCTTATAAATATACCTCAGAAGTATATGCAATAAATATATGGAAATACAGCCCTCAAAGGAAAAACATATTTCGTAAGTATAGCTGAATAGCTGAGTTATTCATTAAAATATTATTTATGAAAACTCAAATCTCTTTGTTGAAAGTATTTTGTGGTCCTGAAAAGGACCGATTTGGTTACAATTGATGCTTTACAATTTACAATTTAAGCACGTTCGCCACGAATGCGTCTGGCCAGTTGGATATCTTTGGGCATGATGGTGACACGCTTAGCATGGATAGCACACAAGTTCGTGTCTTCAAATAGGCCAACCAGGTAGGCTTCGCTAGCTTCTTGCAGAGCCATCACAGCCGAACTCTGGAAACGTAAATCGGTCTTGAAGTCCTGAGCAATTTCGCGTACTAAACGCTGGAACGGCAGCTTGCGGATAAGCAACTCTGTGCTCTTCTGGTAGCGACGAATTTCACGCAGTGCAACTGTACCGGGACGATAGCGATGAGGTTTCTTCACACCACCGGTTGCTGGAGCACTTTTACGTGCTGCCTTAGTTGCCAACTGTTTGCGAGGAGCCTTGCCTCCCGTCGATTTACGAGCAGTCTGCTTAGTACGCGCCATTTTTCTCTTTCTATAACACTGTTTACACTCTCACTGTTGAAAACACAATAATCGTCCGCTGGTTTGCTGCTCGTTTATATAGAAAACTGCTCGTTAAGCGAGGGTAGTGTGCGAGCGGGATAGAAATATCTGTGCACTCGCTCAAGAGTTTGCTCTTTTTGGTATAAATAGAAGCGCTTGCGACGAAGCAGCATTACTTTGTTTCTGGCATTCGTGGTGTAAAGTGTGAATTAAAAGTGAAAAATGACTGGTCGTGGTAAAGGTGGCAAAGGTTTGGGTAAAGGCGGCGCTAAACGTCATCGCAAAGTGTTGCGTGATAACATCCAGGGCATCACGAAGCCAGCTATTCGTCGTTTAGCTCGTCGTGGTGGTGTGAAACGTATCTCAGGACTCATTTATGAAGAAACTCGTGGTGTTCTAAAGGTATTCTTGGAAAACGTTATCCGCGATGCGGTCACATACACCGAGCATGCCAAGAGGAAGACGGTCACTGCCATGGATGTTGTCTATGCGCTGAAGAGACAAGGCCGTACCCTATACGGTTTTGGCGGCTAAAAACTAAATCCCAAATACAAATATGTACAAGTACAGTCATACCAATCGGTCCTTTTCAGGACCACCAAATCTTTACTCAAAAGAGATGAAAAATATTCAATATCTAGCCAAGTAATATGCACCTGAAATATACTTTTATTTAGCATTTGCTTTATAAAATACAAATAATTTAACAAAAAAAAGTGTTGAAACACCAAATGGATGCCAACAACACGCGGTGTTCCCAAGCGGTCCCCCATCTAAGTACTAACCGCGCCCGACGCTGCTTAATTTCGGTGATCGGACGAGAACCGATGTATTCAGCGTAGTATGGTCGTTGGCAAATGTCATGCGCTTAACATTTGCTTTTATGGCATCACACACATCACATCCACTTAAAAAGCAAGTGAAGCGTCAGCCAAGAATACGCTACTGTGTATTTAGTTAATTTCAGCAGAAAGTTACTAAATGTAGCAAATTAATTAAATAAAATTTCATTTTTAAATTTACATTAAAAATTAAAAGAAATGTTATATTAAGGAGTCTATCGGTGAATGTAAGTAAAAAAAAAACACAATTCACAGCGAAGAGCAAAAAGTAGGAAATACCCTTACTCCTCAGGTAGATGATACTGTTTTGACACCAACTGTACTTTTCTTACATTTCTCTTTTCGTTTTTCGACCGTGGGAATTCAAATATAGTCAATGAAAAATTAAATCTCTTTTACATATTTTGGTCGTCCTGAAAAGGACGTTTGAGTTTTTTTTTTTTACATATGTACATGCTATTTGAGAGTAGTCTGGTAGTTTATGCCTTCTTTTCCGTCTTCTTGGGGAGTAGAACTGCCTGGATGTTGGGTAAAACACCACCCTGGGCAATGGTAACGCCCGAAAGCAGTTTATTTAACTCTTCATCGTTGCGGATGGCCAATTGCAGATGGCGAGGGATAATCCTAGTTTTCTTATTATCACGAGCAGCATTGCCAGCCAACTCCAAGACTTCAGCGGCCAAGTATTCCATAACGGCAGCTAAGTACACAGGAGCACCGGCACCAACACGCTCGGCGTAGTTGCCCTTGCGAAGAAGACGGTGAATACGACCCACGGGAAACTGGAGTCCAGCGCGGTTGGAACGCGACTTTGCCTTTCCCTTTACTTTTCCACCTTTACCACGACCAGACATTGTTATTTAGTTCACAAATTAGTCACTCTCAACACACAAATATCAAATTCCGAATGATTCCGACAAACAAGCCGTCATTGTATTTATAGTTTTTCAGCTACCTACTTCTTCAGGTTAGGAATGAACAGCTGCGCAGTATTTCGAGCGCAGTGGTGGATTTTAACATGAAAGCGTCGTTCAAACGAAAGTATATATGATAAGCATTTTCGGTGTGCTGAACACACATTTGTGAAGTTAATCAAAGTGAAGTGAATAAGTATTAAGTATGCCGCCGAAAACTAGTGGAAAGGCAGCCAAAAAGGCTGGCAAGGCTCAAAAGAACATTACCAAGAATGACAAGAAGAAGAAGCGCAAGAGGAAGGAAAGCTATGCCATCTACATTTACAAAGTGTTGAAGCAGGTCCATCCTGACACTGGCATTTCGTCAAAGGCAATGAGCATCATGAACAGCTTCGTGAATGATATTTTTGAGCGTATTGCTGCCGAGGCATCTCGTTTGGCCCACTACAACAAACGTTCAACCATCACAAGTCGGGAAATCCAAACCGCTGTCCGTCTTTTACTGCCCGGAGAGTTGGCTAAGCACGCCGTCAGTGAGGGAACCAAAGCAGTCACCAAGTACACTAGCTCCAAGTAAATTGCAGGCAGAAATACCAGCGAGCAGCTAGCAGCAAAAGGCCCTTTTCAGGGCCACAAATCATTCCTTTCAAAGAATTCAAAATATTTTTCCATTACTGGTGAAGCAACTTAATAAACTAATTTTCATATTCTATTCTATTGATGCCGCAAATTACTCACAATCACAGTATATTTTAGCTGGACTTTTAATGAAATAAAAATCAACAGCAAAATTACCTTTTTTTAGTTCCCACAACGAATAAAGTACGCGGAGAAAGTAAATTAGTCTTATTAACACACAAAATAAATATTCTTACGAAGTGTGCAACAAATATATGGAAATAGTCTTTAAAGCAAAAACAGATACTGAATAAGTCTGGAAATATTTTTCTCTCTTTAAAAATACATAAATTGTAGCCCTGAAAAGGGCTTTGTTAAAATGCGAAGGCGAATTTCACAATTAAGAAATTCCGAATTTCACTTCTACTCTGATTAAGAGTGTTTTTTTACTTCTTGGCGGCCTTCGGCTTCTTGGCAGAAGCTTTTTTCGGTGTCGCTGGCTTTGCTACTGCCTTTGCCTGCTTTGGCTTAGCACTTGTGGCTTGTGTCTTGGGCTTTGGCGTCTTTGCCTTTGCTGCGCTTTGTTTGGCCTTTGCCTTTGCTTTTGCATCTGCTGTGGTGGGTTTAGCCTTTACTGTACCCGTTTTCTTAGCATCCTTTGCTACTGCCTTTGCCTTTGCTTTTGCTTTTGCTTTTGCCTTATCTGCCTTCGATTTCTCAGCGCTCTTTTTGCTGGCGGTGGCTACCTTTGATGGCTTCTTCTTGTCAACTGTAGCTGATTTCTTCTTTTTAGCTGCTGCTGCTGCTGATGCTGCTGTGGTTTTCTTCTCCAGAGGAGAAGCCTTTGGTTTCGGCTCTTTTTTGGCTGATGCAGACAGTTTAAACGAACCAGATGCACCCTTGCCCTTTGTTTGGACCAGCTTTCCACTTGCAACTGCAGTCCTCAAGTACTTCTTAATGAACGGTGCTAGTTTCTGGGCATCGCACTTGTAGGTGGCACTAATGTATTTCTTAATTGCCAGAAGCGATGAGCCACCACGCTCCTTCAAGTTTTTTATCGAAGCATCTACCATTTGCTGAGTTGGCGGGTGTGATGCTCCAGCTGTTGTCCTCTTTGCCTTCAATCCTGATGCTGCCTTCTTGGTGGCCACCTTCTTCTCGGCTGCAGCTGGTGTGGCAGTCACGGGAGAGGCGATTGTGGCAACTGCTGAATCAGACATATTTCACTTTAGTTCACTTTCACAACGATTTACACTTTAATGGTACAAATTTGCTGAAACTCACCATGCTATTTGGTCACTCGATTGAGTGAGAATCGAGGAGGAGAGCCGAACGAGAATGTTTACGGCATTGAACGTTTGTCATGTGAAAGATTGCCAACGTCTTATTGTTAATTTGCCATTTACAATCGATTTATTTGCAAATAGAAAAGAATGTAAATGTGGATAATGTTTAAAATATTTGAGCAACTAAATATAATAGATTTGAATTTATTATCTTAAATCACCGAGTCGTGGAAGTCGTGCAAAGTCTCGATTTGTTCCATCACGCAACATTTGTTAGTGAAAAACAACTCTTTTTAATATAATTACAACAAAATTTAGAAAATTATAATATTAATTGTATTATTTAAACTTTTCTTTACTGAAACACAATAGTTAAAAAGAATAGAAGTGATTAAATCATTTTTTAAACATGCTTTTAACTTGGCCATTAGCTGTAAAAAATTGACTAGCTTGGAGTGCAAGCAACAAGAGAAAAATGTATCGAAAACATATAAATTCTTCTTGAATAATTAATACCTACTTATTTTATATATTACATGTATATTAACTTCAGTTACATCTGTTTGATAATTATTGTAATACCAAAATCAAACGATTACAGATGAATTGTACATGCAACATCCAGATGACCACAATACGCGTATCAAGCGAGCAACTTATTAAAAGTCACATTATTCTTTATTTATATCATTGTTGTCTATCAGATTACGACATGTCTCTCTAAAGAAACATATATATCGGATCGAATGAGAAAATATTATATGAACTGCATGTTCACATCAAAATTGAAAGTAATATAATCACGAGCAACACATTAGATGTGCAACTTGAATCTTTATTTATATACATTTCTTCAAAAGGGAATCCATTATTGTAATTGCAATTCGAAAAACATTTACTGCTTTTCTTGCTTTGCTATTTACATACTGATTGTAATACAGTAAATAATATATTTATGTATATTGAGTAAAACATTTCCTAATTATATTTAAACGTTTTTTAAAGCCTGAATAGCTGAATTATTCATTCAAATATTATTTATGAAAACTCAAATCTCTTTGTTGAAAGTATTTTGTGGTCCTGAAAAGGACCGATTTGGTTACAATTGATGCTTTACAATTTACAATTTAAGCACGTTCGCCACGAATGCGTCTGGCCAGTTGGATATCTTTGGGCATGATGGTGACACGCTTAGCATGGATAGCACACAAGTTCGTGTCTTCAAATAGGCCAACCAGGTAGGCTTCGCTAGCTTCTTGCAGAGCCATCACAGCCGAACTCTGGAAACGTAAATCGGTCTTGAAGTCCTGAGCAATTTCGCGTACTAAACGCTGGAACGGCAGCTTGCGGATAAGCAACTCTGTGCTCTTCTGGTAGCGACGAATTTCACGCAGTGCAACTGTACCGGGACGATAGCGATGAGGTTTCTTCACACCACCGGTTGCTGGAGCACTTTTACGTGCTGCCTTAGTTGCCAACTGTTTGCGAGGAGCCTTGCCTCCCGTCGATTTACGAGCAGTCTGCTTAGTACGCGCCATTTTTCTCTTTCTATAACACTGTTTACACTCTCACTGTTGAAAACACAATAATCGTCCGCTGGTTTGCTGCTCGTTTATATAGAAAACTGCTCGTTAAGCGAGGGTAGTGTGTGAGCGGGATAGAAATATCTGTGCACTCGCTCAAGAGTTTGCTCTTTTTGGTATAAATAGAAGCGCTTGCGACGAAGCAGCATTACTTTGTTTCTGGCATTCGTGGTGTAAAGTGTGAATTAAAAGTGAAAAATGACTGGTCGTGGTAAAGGTGGCAAAGGTTTGGGTAAAGGCGGCGCTAAACGTCATCGCAAAGTGTTGCGTGATAACATCCAGGGCATCACGAAGCCAGCTATTCGTCGTTTAGCTCGTCGTGGTGGTGTGAAACGTATCTCAGGACTCATTTATGAAGAAACTCGTGGTGTTCTAAAGGTATTCTTGGAAAACGTTATCCGCGATGCGGTCACATACACCGAGCATGCCAAGAGGAAGACGGTCACTGCCATGGATGTTGTCTATGCGCTGAAGAGACAAGGCCGTACCCTATACGGTTTTGGCGGCTAAAAACTAAATCCCAAATACAAAAATATGCAAGTACAGTCATACCAATCGGTCCTTTTCAGGACCACCAAATCTTTACTCAAAAGAGATGAAAAATATTCAATATCTAGCCAAGTAATATGCACCTGAAATATACTTTTATTTAGCATTTGCTTTATAAAATACAAATAATTTAACAAAAAAAAGTGTTGAAACACCAAATGGATGCCAACAACACGCGGTGTTCCCAAGCGGTCCCCCATCTAAGTACTAACCGCGCCCGACGCTGCTTAATTTCGGTGATCGGACGAGAACCGATGTATTCAGCGTAGTATGGTCGTTGGCAAATTTCATACGCTTAATATTTGCTTTTATGGCATCACACACATCACATCCATTTAAAAAGCAAATGGAGCGTCAGCCAAGAATACGCTACTGTGTATTTAGTTAATTTCAGCAGAAAGTTACTAAATGTAGCAAATTAATTAAATAAAATTTCATTTTTAAATTTACATTAAAAATTAAAAGAAATGTTATATTAAGGAGTCTATCGGTGAATGTATGTAAAAAAAAAAACACAATTCACAGCGAAGAGCAAAAAGTAAAAAGCAAAAATCAACAGCAAAATTACCTTTTTATAGTTCCCACAACGAATAAAGTAAGCGGAGAAAGTAAATTAGTCTTATTAACACACAAAATAAATATTCTTACGAAGTATGTGCAACAAATATATGGAAATAGTCTTTAAAGCAAAAACAGATACTGAATAAGTCTGGAAATATTTTTCTCTCTTTAAAAATACATAAATTGTAGCCCTGAAAAGGGCTTTGTTAAAATGCGAAGGCGAATGTCATAATTCAGAAATCCAGAATTTCGCTTCTACTCTGATTAAGAGTGTGTTTTTTACTTCTTGGCGGCCTTCGGCTTCTTGGCAGAAGCTTTTTTCGGTGTCGCTGGCTTTGCTACTGCCTTTGCCTGCTTTGGCTTAGCACTTGTGGCTTGTGTCTTGGGCTTTGGCGTCTTTGCCTTTGCTGCGCTTTGTTTGGCCTTTGCCTTTGCTTTTGCATCTGCTGTGGTGGGTTTAGCCTTTACTGTACCCGTTTTCTTAGCATCCTTTGCTACTGCCTTTGCCTTTGCTTTTGCTTTTGCCTTATCTGCCTTCGATTTCTCAGCGCTCTTTTTGCTGGCGGTGGCTACCTTTGATGGCTTCTTCTTGTCAACTGTAGCTGATTTATTCTTTTTAGCTGCTGCTGCTGATGCTGCTGTGGTTTTCTTCTCCAGAGGAGAAGCCTTTGGCTTCGGCTCTTTTTTGGCTGATGCAGACAGTTTAAACGAACCAGATGCACCCTTGCCCTTTGTTTGGACCAGCTTTCCACTTGCAACTGCAGTCCTCAAGTACTTCTTAATGAACGGTGCTAATTTCTGGGCATCGCACTTGTAGGTGGCACTAATGTATTTCTTAATTGCCAGAAGCGATGAGCCACCACGCTCCTTCAAGTTTTTTATCGAAGCATCTACCATTTGCTGAGTTGGCGGGTGTGATGCTCCAGCTGTTGTCCTCTTTGCCTTCAATCCTGATGCTGCCTTCTTGGTGGCCACCTTCTTCTCGGCTGCAGCTGGTGTGGCAGTCACGGGAGAGGCGATTGTGGCAACTGCTGAATCAGACATATTTCACTTTAGTTCACTTTCACAACGATTTACACTTTAATGGTACAAATTTGCTGAAATTCACCATGCTATTTGGTCACTCGATTGAGTGAGAATCGAGGAGGAGAGCCGAACGAGAATGTTTACGGCATTGAACGTTTGTCATGTGAAAGATTGCCAACGTCTTATTGTTAATTTGCCATTTACAATCGATTTATTTGCAAATAGAAAAGAATGTAAATGTGGATAATGTTTAAAATATTTGAGCAACTAAATATAATAGATTTGAATTTATTATCTTAAATCACCGAGTCGTGGAAGTCGTGCAAAGTCTCGATTTGTTCCATCACGCAACATTTGTTAGTGAAAAACAACTCTTTTTAATATAATTACAACAAAATTTAGAAAATTATAATATTAATTGTATTATTTAAACTTTTCTTTACTGAAATATAATAGTTAAAAAGAATAGAAGTGATTAAATCATTTTTTAAACATGCTTTTAACTTGGCCATTAGCTGTAAAAAATTGACTAGCTTGGAGTGCAAGCAACAAGAGAAAAATGTATCGAAAACATATAAATTCTTCTTGAATAATTAATACCTACTTATTTTATATATTACATGTATATTAACTTCAGTTACATCTGTTTGATAATTATTGTAATACCAAAATCAAACGATTACAGATGAATTGTACATGCAACATCCAGATGACCACAATACTCGTATCAAGCGAGCAACTTATTAAAAGTCACATTATTCTTTATTTATATCATTGTTGTCTATCAGATTACGACATGTCTCTCTAAAGAAACATATATATCGGATCGAATGAGAAAATATTATATGAACTGCATGTTCACATCAAAATTGAAAGTAATATAATCACGAGCAACACATTAGATGTGCAACTTGAATCTTTATTTATATACATTTCTTCAAAAGGGAATCCATTATTGTAATTGCAATTCGAAAAACATTTACTGCTTTTCTTGCTTTGCTATTTACATACTGATTGTAATACAGTAAATAATATATTTATGTATATTGAGTAAAACATTTCGCAATAATTATCTTCTGTAATATTTCCTAATTATATTTAAACGTTTTTTAAAGCCTGAATAGCTGAATTATTCATTCAAATATTATTTATGAAAACTCAAATCTCTTTGTTGAAAGTATTTTGTGGTCCTGAAAAGGACCGATTTGGTTACAATTGATGCTTTACAATTTACAATTTAAGCACGTTCGCCACGAATGCGTCTGGCCAGTTGGATATCTTTGGGCATGATGGTGACACGCTTAGCATGGATAGCACACAAGTTCGTGTCTTCAAATAGGCCAACCAGGTAGGCTTCGCTAGCTTCTTGCAGAGCCATCACAGCCGAACTCTGGAAACGTAAATCGGTCTTGAAGTCCTGAGCAATTTCGCGTACTAAACGCTGGAACGGCAGCTTGCGGATAAGCAACTCTGTGCTCTTCTGGTAGCGACGAATTTCACGCAGTGCAACTGTACCGGGACGATAGCGATGAGGTTTCTTCACACCACCGGTTGCTGGAGCACTTTTACGTGCTGCCTTAGTTGCCAACTGTTTGCGAGGAGCCTTGCCTCCCGTCGATTTACGAGCAGTCTGCTTAGTACGCGCCATTTTTCTCTTTCTATAACACTGTTTACACTCTCACTGTTGAAAACACAATAATCGTCCGCTGGTTTGCTGCTCGTTTATATAGAAAACTGCTCGTTAAGCGAGGGTAGTGTGCGAGCGGGATAGAAATATCTGTGCACTCGCTCAAGAGTTTGCTCTTTTTGGTATAAATAGAAGCGCTTGCGACGAAGCAGCATTACTTTGTTTCTGGCATTCGTGGTGTAAAGTGTGAATTAAAAGTGAAAAATGACTGGTCGTGGTAAAGGTGGCAAAGGTTTGGGTAAAGGCGGCGCTAAACGTCATCGCAAAGTGTTGCGTGATAACATCCAGGGCATCACGAAGCCAGCTATTCGTCGTTTAGCTCGTCGTGGTGGTGTGAAACGTATCTCAGGACTCATTTATGAAGAAACTCGTGGTGTTCTAAAGGTATTCTTGGAAAACGTTATCCGCGATGCGGTCACATACACCGAGCATGCCAAGAGGAAGACGGTCACTGCCATGGATGTTGTCTATGCGCTGAAGAGACAAGGCCGTACCCTATACGGTTTTGGCGGCTAAAAACTAAATCCCAAATACAAATATGTACAAGTACAGTCATACCAATCGGTCCTTTTCAGGACCACCAAATCTTTACTCAAAAGAGATGAAAGATATTCAATATCTAGCCAAGTAATATGCACCTGAAATATACTTTTATTTAGCATTTGCTTTATAAAATACAAATAATTTAACAAAAAAAAGTGTTGAAACACCAAATGGATGCCAACAACACGCGGTGTTCCCAAGCGGTCCCCCATCTAAGTACTAACCGCGCCCGACGCTGCTTAATTTCGGTGATCGGACGAGAACCGATGTATTCAGCGTAGTATGGTCGTTGGCAAATGTCATACGCTTAATATTTGCTTTTATGGCATCACACACATCACATCCATTTAAAAAGCAAATGAAGCGTCAGCCAAGAATACGCTACTATCTATTTATTTAATGTCAGCAGAAAGATACTAAATGTAGCAAATTAATTAAATAAAATTATATAATTAAATTAAATTTACATTAAAAATTAAAAGAAATGGTTTATTAAGGAGTCTATCGGTGAATGTAGGTAAAAAAAAAACACAATTCACAGCGAAGAGCAAAAAGTAGGAAATACCCTTACTCCTCAGGTAGATGATACTGTTTTGACACCAACTGTACTTTTCTTACATTTCGTTTTTCGTTTTTCGACCGTGGGAATTCAAATATAGTCAATGAAAAATTAAATCTCTTTTACATATTTTGGTCGTCCTGAAAAGGACGTTTGATTGAGTTTTTTTTTTACATATGTACATGCTATTTGAGAGTAGTCTGGTAGTTTATGCCTTCTTTTCCGTCTTCTTGGGGAGTAGAACTGCCTGGATGTTGGGTAAAACACCACCCTGGGCAATGGTAACGCCCGAAAGCAGTTTATTTAACTCTTCATCGTTGCGGATGGCCAATTGCAGATGGCGAGGGATAATCCTAGTTTTCTTATTATCACGAGCAGCATTGCCAGCCAACTCCAAGACTTCAGCGGCCAAGTATTCCATAACGGCAGCTAAGTACACAGGAGCACCGGCACCAACACGCTCGGCGTAGTTGCCCTTGCGAAGAAGACGGTGAATACGACCCACGGGAAACTGGAGTCCAGCGCGGTTGGAACGCGACTTTGCCTTTCCCTTTACTTTTCCACCTTTACCACGACCAGACATTGTTATTTAGTTCACAAATTAGTCACTCTCAACACACAAATATCAAATACCGAATGATTCCGACAAACAAGCCGTCATTGTATTTATAGTTTTTCAGCCACCTACTTTGTCAGGTTAGGAATGAACAGCTGCGCAGTAATTCGAGCGCAGTGGTGGATTTTAACATGAAAGCGTCGTTCAAACGAGAGTATATATTAGAAGAATTTTCAGTGTGCTGAACACATTGTGAAGTTAATCAAAGTGAAGTGAATAAGTATTAAGAATGCCGCCGAAAACTAGTGGAAAGGCAGCCAAAAAGGCTGGCAAGGCTCAAAAGAACATCACCAAGAATGACAAGAAGAAGAAGCGCAAGAGGAAGGAAAGCTATGCCATCTACATTTACAAAGTGTTGAAGCAGGTCCATCCTGACACTGGCATTTCGTCAAAGGCAATGAGCATCATGAACAGCTTCGTGAATGATATTTTTGAGCGTATTGCTGCCGAGGCATCTCGTTTGGCCCACTACAACAAACGTTCAACCATCACAAGTCGGGAAATCCAAACCGCTGTCCGTCTATTACTGCCCGGAGAGTTGGCTAAGCACGCCGTCAGTGAGGGAACCAAAGCAGTCACCAAGTACACTAGCTCCAAGTAAATTGCAGGCAGAAAACCAGTTAGCAGCAAAAGGCCCTTTTCAGGGCCACAAATCATTCCTTTCAAAGAATTCAAAATATTTTTCCATTACTGGTGAAGCAACTTAATAAACTAATTTTCATATTCTATTCTATTGATGCCGCAAATTACTCACAGAGTATATTTTAGCTGGACTTTTAATGAAATAAAAATCAACAGCAAAATTACCTTTTTATAGTTCCCACAACGAATAAAGGTGCAGAAAGGAAATTAATCTTATTAACACACAAAATAGATTGTTTGGCTTATAAATATACCTACGAAGTATAATATGGAAATACAGCCCTTAAAGGAAAAACATATTTCGTAAGTATAGCTGAATAGCCGAGTTATTCATTAAAATATTATTTATGAAAACTCAAATCTCTTTGTTGAAAGTATTTTGTGGTCCTGAAAAGGACCGATTTGGTTACAATTGATGTTTGACAATTTACAATTTAGGCACGTTCGCCACGAATGCGTCTGGCCAGTTGGATATCTTTGGGCATGATGGTGACACGCTTAGCATGGATAGCACACAAGTTCGTGTCTTCAAATAGGCCAACCAGGTAGGCTTCGCTAGCTTCTTGCAGAGCCATCACAGCCGAACTCTGGAAACGTAAATCGGTCTTGAAGTCCTGAGCAATTTCGCGTACTAAACGCTGGAACGGCAGCTTGCGGATAAGCAACTCTGTGCTCTTCTGGTAGCGACGAATTTCACGCAGTGCAACTGTACCGGGACGATAGCGATGAGGTTTCTTCACACCACCGGTTGCTGGAGCACTTTTACGTGCTGCCTTAGTTGCCAACTGTTTGCGAGGAGCCTTGCCTCCCGTCGATTTACGAGCAGTCTGCTTAGTACGCGCCATTTTTCTCTTTCTACAACACTGTTTACACTCTCACTGTTGAAAACACAATAATCGCCCGCTCGTTTTGCTGCTCGTTTATATAGAAAACTGCTCGTTAAGCGAGGGTAGTGTGTGAGCGGGATAGAAATATCGGTGCACTCGCTCAAGAGTTTGCTCTTTTGGTATAAATAGAAGCGCTTGCGACGAAGCAGCATTACTTTGTTTCTGCATTTCGTGGGTGTAAAGTGTGAAATTTAAAAGTGAAAAAATGACTGGTCGTGGTAAAGGTGGCAAAAGGTTTGGGTAAAGGCGGCGCTAAACGTCATCGCAAAGTGTTGCGTGATAACATCCAGGGCATCACGAAGCCAGCTATTCGTCGTTTAGCTCGTCGTGGTGGTGTGAAACGTATCTCAGGACTCATTTATGAAGAAACTCGTGGTGTTCTCAAGGTGTTCTTGGAAAACGTTATCCGCGATGCGGTCACATACACCGAGCATGCCAAGAGGAAGACGGTCACTGCCATGGATGTTGTCTATGCGCTGAAGAGACAAGGCCGTACCCTATACGGTTTTGGCGGCTAAAAACTAAATCCCAAATACAAATATGTACAAGTACAGTCATACCAATCGGTCCTTTTCAGGACCACCAAATCTTTACTCAAAAGAGATGAAAGATATTCAATATCTAGCCAAGTAATATGCACCTGAAATATACTTTTATTTAGCATTTGCTTTATAAAATACAAATAATTTAACAAAAAAAGTGTTGAAGCACCAAATGGATGCCAACAACACGCGGTGTTCCCAAGCGGTCCCCCATCTAAGTACTAACCGCGCCCGACGCTGCTTAATTTCGGTGATCGGACGAGAACCGATGTATTCAGCGTAGTATGGTCGTTGGCAAATGTCATACGCTTAATATTTGCTTTTATGGCATCACACACATCACATCCATTTAAAAAGCAAATGAAGCGTCAGCCAAGAATACGCTACTGTGTATTTAGTTAATTTCAGCAGAAAGTTACTAAATGTAGCAAATTAATTAAATAAAATTTCATTTTTAAATTTACATTAAAAATTAAAAGAAATGTTATATTAAGGAGTCTATCGGTGAATGTATGTAAAAAAAAAAACACAATTCACAGCGAAGAGCAAAAAGTAAAAAGCAAAAATCAACAGCAAAATTACCTTTTTATAGTTCCCACAACGAATAAAGTAAGCGGAGAAAGTAAATTAGTCTTATTAACACACAAAATAAATATTCTTACGAAGTATGTGCAACAAATATATGGAAATAGTCTTTAAAGCAAAAACAGATACTGAATAAGTCTGGAAATATTTTTCTCTCTTTAAAAATACATAAATTGTAGCCCTGAAAAGGGCTTTGTTAAAATGCGAAGGCGAATGTCATAATTCAGAAATCCAGAATTTCGCTTCTACTCTGATTAAGAGTGTGTTTTTTACTTCTTGGCGGCCTTCGGCTTCTTGGCAGAAGCTTTTTTCGGTGTCGCTGGCTTTGCTACTGCCTTTGCCTGCTTCGGCTTAGCACTTGTGGCTTGTGTCTTGGGCTTTGGTGTCTTTGCCTTTGCTGCGCTTTGTTTGGCATTTGCCTTTGCTTTTGCATCTGCTGTGGTGGGTTTAGCCTTTACTGTACCCGTTTTCTTAGCATCCTTTGCTACTGCCTTTGCCTTTGCTTTTGCTTTTGCGTTATCTGCATTCGATTTCTCAGCGCTCTTTTTGCTGGCGGTGGCTACCTTTGATGGCTTCTTCTTGTCAACTGTAGCT